AAAAAAAAAAGGGGGGAATATTTTGATACTGCCACCCAGTAAGCTGACTGCATGATGAGCTACCGTATATTTACATATTCGGCAGCTCTAAGCTCGGGGTATAGCGAATTATTCATTAAACTTTGCAGTTGATGGACTTTATTCTAGTCGAAGTGTCGGAAAATTGACTACTTAATTTTTGGACTATGTTTTTACTTATTTAGTTGTATACTAAAGATGTCTTCAGAGATAAGGAGTTTTGTAAAGTTTAAAAATTTCGGATATACAACTAAAGTAATATTTAACTTTATTAAACTTTAGCTGTTGTCTTTCATTAGATTACAGATCTAAATCTATATTTTAATCTTTTGAAATCTTTAAGCATTATCAATCTTTTAAATTTTGTACTAGTATACATTTCTGACTTTACTCTGCTAAATTAACAGACATTTGTATGCCAAACGTTGATGTTTTTGGGCGGCAGCACTCGATAATCGTCTGTTTTGACACCTGACTTCCAGTGCGGAGGAGGTTCCTTCAGCTGACTGGCAGCCACCCAAGAGCTTCGTCAATCGATGGAAACGACATTCATTGAGTAGTTCGCTATCGTAGTCTACGATCCATGATCGGATGGCAATTTGGTTAGCTCACCGATTAATTGCGGTTTTCTGTTTTTATTTTCGCTTTGTTTACAATATTCCTACATACTTCAAGCGATTTTGGGTTTGGTATAATACACGATTGTTTAGACAATAAAAATTAATGAGCAGCGTCGATCATTTGAAGTTCTTCACAGGCCACGATGATGTTTATTATTGCCGTAAAGCTATTTTCGGTGGGAGAATCAAATCAAGTGCACCTATTTTTATATTAAATGCAAATACTTTGATATGTTTTGGAAAACCTGTTGTTTTTGACATTGCAAAATTGTAAACGATACGGGAACGGAATTTGTTTCGGTGATGATTTAGGTGTTTGAAATCATAACTGAATTTATTTTATTTTATTTTACAAATAGTTTTTGTTTTCTTTTTCTTTGTGCAACTTTTATATTATGTTTCAAATTGTCCCCTTAATCCCAAGTGGGATTCGAAACAGTATCAATTAAAACCCCTACTAGCAATAAAATAAAAAAGGAATATCCCTTAGCTAAAAATGAATAGTTTAACCAGAGTTCATCTCTTAAAACTTAATTACATTTACATTTTTATGATTTACAAACAACTATAAATTTAAAAAACAAAAAGCTTTGTATTTTTAAAACTCATTTGATTAATTTATTTTCTTTCATGCACTACAGCTTGAAGAACTAAAACTTTCGAACATTTTTAAGCCAGATAATGTCTGTTTTGGCTATCCAAAATGCTGTCCGTTTGTGAAATGTCTTAAAGTGAGTCATCCTATTTATAGGACACAGATCCGAACGCATACCAAATGCAACCCTAACTGCCAGCGGCCGCCACTTGCAGTCAGGTTGAGTGACAATTTAATGCAATCTAATCAGCATCTTGGGCGCCAGCTGGCCATTTCTGTTCGACTGGGTTGACGTCACAGTGGGAATCGCACTGCAATCGGACAGCTGAACAGTGCAGCCTTGGATGGTTGGGCAGAATGTGGGAGTATTGTGCTGGGCACTTGCCTCGCCAATTTGCATAGGGACTCTAGGCGCCGGAACGGGCAGCAAAAGTCAGGATGTAAAGCTCTTTAGCTCTACGGTTGCCTCTTTTGATTGCCAACGCGGTAATGGAGCTTATGATTGGCGTATGTGGGCGGGTAGAGCTTTCCCGGGTGCGGCGCATCTCCGGACATTTGCACAATGCTGCAGAAAACAACCACTGGTTGCAGTTTCCATACACGCATCGAGAGCGACGCACATTAATCTCGCTTTCAGACGCCTTCAAAGTTTACTCCTGCAACATATACCCATGCCTCTGCCACCGAATTTTCACGAAGTGAGAGACAAATCAATTGGTTAAGGGAAACTTATAAACTTTGATATTTTGAAATACCAATTTGTGGGATATTTATTACATATCTTCAAACAAACACAGTACAGTCACACATTCATAACACTATTTTAAACTGATAACTGCCCAACTATGCAGCATTATAAGCAGTTTTTATAACATCATTTCGAATCTGATAAAGATAATGACCTGCGATTTGTGTGCAATAAACCAAACCCAAAATACTCATGATATTGTTATTTTTATCTTTGGCAGGAACAAGTCAAACTGGATGCCAGTAGACAGGTAATCAGCCCCGACGACTGCGAAGATCTCAGCCCGATGCCACAGACAGCAGCTCCACCGGTGCGCAGACGCGGAGGAATCTCCGCCGAGCCCGTCACCGAGGAGGATGCCGCCAACTACGTGAAGAAGGTGGTGCCCAAGGACTACAAGACGATGAACGCCCTGTCCAAGGCGATCGCCAAGAATGTGCTCTTTGCCCATTTGGACGAGAGCGAGCGTTCCGACATATTTGATGCCATGTTCCCAGTGAATCACATTGCCGGCGAGAATATCATCCAGCAGGGCGATGAAGGCGATAACTTCTATGTGATCGATGTGGGCGAGGTCGATGTGAGTACATAGATAAGTTTCTACTTGGAACAATTTTTAGAAGAGATTTTAATGTAAAAGATATTCAAAGTTTCTAACCGCATATAATAATTATTTGATAGATTAATAGCAAATTGCTAGAAAGTTGTTAATTTAAATTGTATTTTTGTATTTATGTATATAAAACCCTATTAACTTGCGTTTAACCTTACTTAGGTTTTTGTTAACTCCGAACTGGTGACCACAATCAGTGAGGGCGGCAGCTTTGGCGAACTGGCCCTGATCTATGGCACTCCACGCGCCGCCACCGTGCGGGCCAAAACCGATGTGAAGCTGTGGGGCATCGACCGCGACTCCTACCGCCGCATCCTGATGGGCTCGACCATCCGCAAGCGCAAGATGTACGAGGAGTTCTTGTCGCGCGTCTCCATTCTGGAGAGTCTGGACAAATGGGAGCGCCTCACGGTGGCCGATTCCCTGGAGACCTGCTCCTTCGATGATGGCGAGACGATTGTCAAACAGGGAGCAGCCGGCGATGACTTCTACATCATCCTCGAGGGCTGTGCGGTGGTGCTGCAGCAGCGTTCCGAGGTGAGTGACCGTGCCGAGCACTGTCACCTGGAGAGATCCACACTAATCAAATGGCATATCTTATCAGCAGGGCGAGGAACCCGCCGAGGTGGGGCGTCTCGGTAGCAGCGATTACTTTGGCGAGATTGCTCTGCTCTTGGACCGACCACGTGCGGCGACCGTCGTGGCCCGCGGGCCGCTCAAGTGCGTCAAACTGGACCGCGCGAGGTGAGTACGATTTTAAAGTTTCACTAATAACGAGGCGCCTTTAGCATAAATTGATTAACTTAAGAAAAATTATATGAAACCTTATAATACCAATATCTATTAAATGATATTGTTGTCGGGTTTTAAGAATAAATCCTTGGACTAAGAAATTTGGAAACGTATGGTCCCATGACTGTCGAGAATTCTTTATCGCACAATAAAGAAGATACATTCAATTTAATTTATTGCTAAGCCGCTGTACATTCGAATTTTTTTTAGAGGTGTTCCTAACATAATTTTCAACTCTCATACTTTACTTTTAAATATAATCTTACAAAGGATACTATAATTTCAGTCAGAAGTTTTTTTAGTTAACTCAAAAAGGTTACCATAAATATTTTAAAAAGCATAAGAAATTATATAAAATTGTAAATAAAAATTTGAACATTATACAAAAAAAAATTTTACATTTTTTGATCGTAAATTATAAATCTTTTAAAATTTATAAATAAGCTAAATGTATACCCCAATGGATCATTGATTTTGATACATTTTTACAAACTGTTATATGGCAACTAACACCCATTTTTTTATTACAGATTCGAACGCGTTTTGGGGCCCTGCGCCGACATACTTAAACGCAACATCACGCAGTATAACAGTTTCGTTTCGTTGTCCGTTTAAGCCAGCAACAACGACAACAATCACTACAAGAAATCAACAAAAAAGAACAGCAGCAGCAAACAAAAAAAAAAAAAAAAAACAACAACCGACAAACCAACAAAACAACAACGCAGCGAACGTCAAAAACAACATGAAGACGGAAGGGAAATAAGTGGATGGAAAAACAAACGCTCAGCAGCATAAACAAGAAATCGTTAACTATATAAGTGTGTAAAGTTAATTGCCGCAAAGCCATGGGATTCTCGATTCTGTCAGATTTACAGAATGCGTGGGGGGCTGAGGGCTAAAAAATGTTAATTATCTGATTCTGTATGTTGTGCTGAAGTTACATAATTGTGTACGTGTGTGTCTCTGTGCAAAGGTTGCGGCGGCATGTTCCCACCCCGCAACCCCCTTTATCGGAGATAATTTTCCCCAGACTTCATCCATACTCTATACTTCTCTTAACTTCTTTAAAACTCTTTTGGACCTTTTTGTATAACTTATGGAACATGCTGCCTCCCCAAAAACAAAAACGTTTCATTAAATATCCAACAGACATCTGAATGTTTTTTAACAAAGAAATAAACGAGATGAATATATGTGTTAAAAAAAAAAATCACACAAAAAAGGCAACACACACAGGCACAAAACACAGACACACTAACTCACACACTCTCATACGAGGCATTAAGTCATGGAAAAAAAATAGGAAAGGAATGAAAAATTGTATTTCGCTTGTATGATTCGTTATTTTTTGTCTAGAACAAAAACACAACGGCAGCAATTAATTAACCATTTTAATTTTAATTTTAGTAAATTATTTTTAAACGTGAACGCGGAGCACATGAAGTCAGCGTGTCAGAAACTATTTAATTAAATATTAAAATCAAAGAAAAATTCATATTTTTCCACATGTTTCTTGTTTCTTCTTTGAACGATGTTTCGTATTCTAAACCTAGTTTTATGATTTCTTTATTAACTAATTTAAGCTTGAGCACAGCGAATGCCTAGTTTAAGCTGTTATACTAGAGGTATTCCTGTTTAAAAATTGGTTTCGACTGCTTTTAACAAAATTGTAATCATATTAGGAAATTACATTTATGTGAAATCAGAGGCGATTAAATTATTGTTTTCTAGTTGTTGATTCAAGAATTGTATCAATCAAGACAAACTATATTATTTAAAAATGCATCTTAGTTAAAAAAAAATTCGGAAAAATGTTGATCTGTAGTAATTAATTCATGGGATACCTCTAATGTTTAAATTTGAAACTGATGTACTAGGCATTTCTAACAACTGCCAGCTAACGAGAAGATAACTTTACAAGAATTTAAAATATATATTTAGTCGCAGAGTCTGGGTGTGTGCGCGTGTGCTGGGTGTGTGTGTGCGTGTGTATCTGTGTGTACAAATGAATATTACCCAAACGAGAAGTTGCATTTACAACACTCAGAAAAAAGCAGCCAATAAAACAATTTATGTGTATATATTTGTAAAGCTTATATCTGCTCGATAGATCATGAAGCATTATCTTTAGCTGTTGCTACATCACACACACACATACACCCTCATCCACCCGCAGACACACGGTCATGATGAAATATAAATCGCAAAATTACTTGAGAAAAGTCATAAATTTATAAGGCGATTGCAAAATGCACTTAAAAGCTACAATTTTGACAAATTTACAGAATATGCAGAAGCATGTAGCACGAAGTCTGTATTGACTTTTGAGCTATGAAACACTGTTAGTACATGAGCAAAATGCAAAAGGTTGAGCCTAGGAAATTTTTAAAGGGTCTGCGCCGTGTGCAGACCACGCCCACTTGGGGCGTTGATGGAACCCGCCGGCGGGTTAGGAAAAAACAAAAAAAAAGCGATTGAGAGAAAGAGGGCATTGCAAAAATAAACATAAAACCGAAATGCTGACAGTAAAATAAATGGAGATCAAGTGGAATACAATTAAATTACAAGCATAATATTATCAATGTAAAATCGTATGTAAAAAACCAAGGCAGAAATCTATAAAAAAAAACTGACAACAAAACAAACGACAAAAAATGAACAAAAAAATCCAAAAAAGAAACTAAGAAATAAATACATTTACATAGATGTTGCAAAAATCAAGCGAATCGAGGCCACTCCCATGGATTCCCGAAACCCTCTCTGTAGATTTGCGTATCCTGTCAGTGAGCTAGCACTTTCGGAGCAGCGGCCCCATGTTTCTGGACGTCATCTTCTTTATACCCACACTGTTCACCTACCTGCTGATTGGACTGCTCATTGTCATCCTGTGCTTCGTGGTGGTCTATATAAGCCACAAGATCTACGTCTCTGTGTACGACAATCTGCCACTGGCCGCCCTGCCCGGCGTATCGCAACAACAGTTAATGGGACTGCGTCACTCCAACCATGCGATGACCATGCGAGAATTCCTGGAGAGCTCGCTCCGGCATCCACGCTCCAATCAGCCCAGCTTGCGCTCCCTTTGGATCCAGAACAGGTCCCAGATCCTGGAGTCCTCCTCGGGTAAGCACTGCGCCCGAGAGGCACTTACTCGGCCAGCTCTTCCTTCTGGGTTTGTTTCCTCTACAGTCCTGCGGATTGTGCTGTCCCTGGAGCCGTGCTATCTGGTCAGCGCGGAGTTCGATGTGAGTTCCAGTCGCAGGCCCGTTAGTTTCTTGTGCAACTGCCGGGATGAGTCCGTGTGCGCTGCCGTAGAGCCGCGGCCCTTGGGGTCCGTACACATAGTCCGGTACTTTGACCACCTCTCCAAGATCCCGCGTCTCAAAGTCATGCTCAAGTGCAATCAAAGGCGGCCGGAACCGCGGCCCGATAGCCGGACGCAGCTGACCCTTAACGATGTGATCCTGGAGGCCAGGGAAGCCCAGGATGCCCAAGGTGCCCAGTGTACGGATAACATTGCCGCCTGTCGTCCTGTCAGCACGCGACGGAGCTCCCGGCTGCCGGATTAAGGGTGTGGTGGCTATGGGATAGGGGGTTAGGTTATAGGCCCTCTTTTAATGGCTGCTGTAATGTGGTATAACTCGTTTTATTAAATTGTATACAAAGATCAAAGGGGTGGAGGTTCCAGGGTCGACGGGTGGGTCAGTGGGTCGGGCACTGAGCTCACGCCAGCTTATGGAAATCGCGTGACAACGAAGGTGAATGTCAGTGGAGCACTGGAGTGGGGATACATCCAAGCAGGGGGCTTAGTAACGAACAAAGGTTATTTAAGGTTTTGAAAAAGCATGGATGGGTTTTCCTATTGAATTTTTAAAAATATATATCCTCTCCATTAAGATTGAATTTTCAGAGAATTTATTATATTCTTGGTTGATTTTGAAATGGAAGTGAGATTATAATACTATAAAATAAATATGGTGCATTTTAAAATAAAATCGAATAATGTGTATTTCCGGTAGCGGAACAATCAATATAAAACAGCTAATTAAAAAAAATTAAATAATATAAAGTATAAAGTTAAGTGTTAGAAACAACTGGAATGTAAAAATGTTATGACTACGCCCATGTCCCACAATCTTATTTTGTTTGGGCCGCATTTTTTGGGGCTTATCATTCTGACTATGGTATTCGTTATCAGTAGATAAAAACCTCTCCAGACCGAGCCGTTAGCATGCCTATCGTGCCTAATTGCCGAAATCACTGGACCCCCATACCAAAACTCGCCACCACGAGAGAACCGAAGCAATTTGCTTGACGCCATTTCGTTCTTTATTGACGCGACCAATTAAGAAGGCAACGTTGTTGATTTGATTGCAAGGCGAATATGAATACAACTGGAATTCCTATATGGGTTATAAATAAAGCTGGGCCCCCGAAAGGGCTGTTCAGATGTGGAGAGCGGCTGCCGATCGAGAGGAACTCCGAACTGAGAAACGTTTCTAATCTTGGCCCAAGTTACAGTTTCCATTGCACAAGAAGAAGCTTATCAAAAGTGAAAAAAATAAAACTGGACCCACAACAAGTAACAACATCTACACAACGGCAGCAGTCTAGCAACGAAGCGTATACGTAATGCCAAGCAAAGTTCCATTCATTTAACGCGCGCTCGCTCGTTTCAGTTCTCGGGCAGGTGTCAAGCGACGTACACGCGAAACGCCGACGCGGTTACAGTTCCAGAATATCATATATGTATATGCTATATATGCTCGAGTGGCTAATTAACATAAGCGTTCCGTCCCGTCTCTTTACCTGAACCTGAGCTGTCTGGAATACACTCATCCACAATTCTTTTGGGGAAGCGAGTACAAAGTCACAATACAATATTTTGAAACATACTCTCCGACATACATACATACATACATATATATATTTGCGTATGCAAAAACGGATCGCCATGCTGGATCCCATTTCGGACACACCGCTGGTCTTGGCCTACGTATTTATGTCGCTGCTAGTGCTCATTCTGTGCTTCATTTTCTTCAATGTGGTCCACAAGCTGTATCGCAGTCTCAACAGCGAGGTATCAGCGGTTCCGATATCCACCGCACAGCCGCTGAAGACCTCCATCATGGAGCTAGACGCCATGAAAACCGGTTAGGATGGGCGCAGCGGCAGCAGCAGCAGCACCACCAGCACCATCACCATCATCAGCAGCTGGCTATGAGAGGGGCGAGAATCTCAGTGCGACGTCGGAGCTCCGGTTTTAATTCGGGCGTTCGGAGCACGAGGCGCAGCAGCTGCAATCCACCCACTCGCACGACACAAAAATTTTAGACGCCTGTTGATACATATATAAACAGAAAAGCAATTAGACATAAATACACGAAACTAGGCTTACGAGTAGAAATTAACTACATTTAACGCTGGTCCTCTAGTCAATTAATTGTTCGGTTTTGCCCTAAGGTTAGGTTACATGTGTACATTGATATTGTAAATAAAGTGACTTGAACGATAGCTGAACAGCAATTAAGGTAGATTGGGGGCAAGTACAAAGCACTTAACCGATCGGGACAGTAAATGTCGCCTGATCGGTGCGTAGTAAAGGCACTGTTTGTGCCTTATCGTTGCAGTATCGAGACGTATAATTTGTGAGTCAATCAAGAATGTGATAAGGAACCCCTGACTTAGTCATAGATTTATACATAGTTTATTTAAAATAGCATGTTCATCTATAAATTTGCAATTAGAGCGCAGTTTGTTGTTGTGGTAGCTGGATGAGTACGGACTGCAAGAGTCCTCAGCTTTCGGGCCCAGGGCCTCGCAGCTGCGACAAGATGTGGAAAACGGTGTTGGGGATTGGATGAGCGTAGAAATGAAAGCAGCAGGCTGCTTCTGGTGGATCTGCGGCGGTGGCATCATCAATCTGTGGGATCGCTGTAATGGAAACGTTCATTATAAACTATTCTTAGTAGGTACAGATTGAATATCTCACCCCGAGAAAGTCTTTGGATGCTGCGACGTAAGATCATCATCCTGGCTGCCAAGCGCCTTTTTCACATACTGCAAAAACAGGATTGATATGAATAAATTAAGAATTTCCCATAAAAAAGTGTCAAACCTACCAGAGGGTTCAATATAATCTCCTCCTCCATTTTGTTGATTTGTTTAACTTGATCCAGAACCTGAGTTATGTTCGTTTGCACGTTGAGGAACATGTCCGGTGAGTTGTATTTCTCTGGATCATCTTTGAACAACACCATGCCATCCTTTTGATTAATGCTGGCATAAATTTCACCCGATTTGATCTAAAAATCAAATTTTTATTGGCTTTAATTTGAGTAATATATTAAACATGAAATTCCTTACCATGTTGAGGATGTAACGCTCTGCTTCAACTGCACTGGACAGCTGGACACGACTGGCCACATCGCTTAGGGAGAGGGTCAAGAAGGTTTTCGTTAGCCGCTGGATGTTCCGCTTGTACAAGGATGTGGCCACCTAAAAGCCAATAAACTATTATATTTAATAATGCTCTTTGTAATTGCCTATATCAGCACATAAATAAATAAAATATTATTTAGCAACACTACTACATTATTTCAGTGCGACCGGAAATGATTTTATACTTTGTATGTATATTAACTTTGCTCGCATTTTCGTATAAATTTAAATATTTTGTTTATTATGAACGACAAAAAGCATTATAAGTATGGTTTATGGCATTGTTCCGCCTTGAAAGTCTTTATACGTCTCAATTAAAAATCTCCTTTTATTTTGGAAAGACTTTTGTTTTTCTTTGATCTTTTAGAACAAGTGTAATAGTCATATCTTTTAATTGACAAAACCTGGACATATGCATATTTTATGTAAAGAAATATATTGAATGTCAAGTAACTAATAATCACTAAGACAATAATGGTTTGGCAACCAAATAAATAAGTTTTAAATAACAATTATGGCCACCACTAGTTTCTCAACCAAAAAGCATTGAACTTTTCAAATACTTGCCTGCTTGGCCAGACCCATGTTGTTATCACGCGTAAATGCTTCACTGTACTTGAGTATGATGATGCGCAGCTCTTCGCTGGACGAATTGGCGTACACATTGACCAGGTCGTGGTAGTGATTGGCCATCGGCTTCATGAAACGGCCAATGACCTGTGTGTTTTTTGGTATATACGCTATCTGCAAACGACAGATTACAAGATTAGGTTTATATATTGCAGGATCTAATCTGCTAGCAATGTCACCTTGCCCTCGACGATGAGTGAAACCATGAGAAACTTTTTGTAGGCTTCCAGCATGATGTGCGACATGGCCATGGCTGGAGTGGTGATGCAGACCTCGAAGAAGTACAGGGCACGTTCGTAGTTCTTCACCGCCGTGTAGATCATGCCGCCGTAGTAGTAATACAGCAAGAAGTACTTGGCATCGTTGTTGGCATCCTAAAAACGATGGACATAACTATGAGTTTATAAGGCTCTCGAGTGAATTTTGAGCCTCACCACCGTGTGCTGGGACTGCTGCTGCTGCTGCGTTTTGCACTCGGCGGCCACGGTGGAGATGTCCGTGATATCCGTGTCCAGATAGTGCAGCACCACACTGAAGTGTTTCGCCTTCAGGCTGAGCAGGCAGAGATCGGCATGAATGGGCGTTAGCTGGGTGTCCAACTGTCGGATCTGGTCGATGGCGCGCGAAAGGATGCGTATGCCCACGATGCTTAGGTTCTTTTGGACCACAAACTCGGTGAACAGATGGCATGTTTCGTAGACTGTGGGCAGAGGATAGAGTACTGACTTGGTGTGTTTAAGGGGTAGATGGAGTATATAACCCACAGGCGCACACGGCAAACCGCAGCTGTTCCGCATTGTTGCGCTGCACAAAGTCCCGCATCAGCAGGATGAGCTGCACCGGCTCCGGATTCGCGGTGGATGCACTGTGCAGCTTCGCCAGGAGCACATAGAGCACGCCCAGCGAGTGCTGCTGCATGTCGAGGGTCTCCAGCACGTTGTCCAGGATGCTCCAGTTGCGCGCGAGCAGGGATAGCGTCTCCGGCAGCTCCTCGGCCAGCTCCCGATAGCTTCCTGAGATGAAAGCCGCCACCAAGATCAGTCGAAGTTCGCATAAATAACAAAACAAAGGGCGGCGAGTACGGGTTTTGCGTTTCCCGCATCGCCGATCGGCCAACTTACCGGATGCACTCAGCGTGCGCACCTGATTCACATAGTTTTCCAGCGCGCTGCCCATTTTAGGAAACTCCGAGACTTCTTTTTGGCCTATTAATTTGCGAAAATGTACACGCTAATTCCTATTGAAAACTGCATAGATGTCGCACAGCCAGTGTGACCGTAGCGAGAGCGGCTTAATATACCACATTGCACTGGATAATATACTGAATGTTAAATAGGGTCATATCGTATGTAATAGTTAAATTATTTTTTAGTTTTAAATTGTATATTATTTTAATTTATAATTTTTCGATGATTTTTGTTTTTTATTTTAAGTGTACAAATATAATACGACCAAAACATGATAAATTTAATATCTAATTATTTAATAATTTGGTTTACATAAAAAGTTACGTTTCGATATAACAAACATAGTATAACATTTTAGTCACATGTTTTTTTGCAATAATTATTTTATTATTATTGCAAAACAAAACTATTTGAAAATATTCTTCCATTTTCCAGGAAGAGCAAAATGTTCTAAAAATTGTTCAAAACAAAAATTGTTCTAAAACTAATCACACATTCGAATTTCGATAGTCGATACATTTTAGAGTGGTCATATCTCCAGTGTTGAATAACACCTGCATAATTTTGCAAACAAGTTGTTGCTGTTCTGTTAATACAAATCTCAAATCAAATGTGAAATGGATAAATCACCGCGTATTGTTTATGTGTGCAGCTTATGCCTACGGCAGTATGATCTCCAGGAGGATCTCCGTGGACACATGGTGTATTTCCATGGCTACGAGCCCATTGCAGTGCCCGCGGCCAAAAGCAAAAAAGCGAAGACTTCAATTAAACAACAAACAGCAGCCGGAAAGACGAACCAGGATAAACAAACCATTGAGGAGCCACTGGATGAACCAAATCCAACGCCAAGTGAACTGCAGCCCATGCCTTTTAAGGATTTCCGACTGGTTTTGAGGTCCACTATGCTGGAGCCGTAGGTATTCACAGTAAATCCTGAGAAATCCATTGCAAATCCCCACTTCTTTTAAGGTGCTCCCTTGGCAAGGACTGCCCCTTCAAATTCCAGGATGCGGCGAAAATGCAGCTCCACTCCAGTTGCCACAAAGGCGGCAGCTTCTCCTGCTGCGAGTGTGGACTGGAGCTGCCCAACTGGCGCCGGTGCTCGGCTCACCTATGGAAAACTCATCAGGTGGATGTGGATCTTCTGGAGTGTCCCGCCCTCAATTGCAACTACAAGTCACCCATATCCGCTCTTGTTTGGAGACACATGCGGGTTCACAAAAAGTGGCGGCCCAGGGTGCTGCGCTCGTTGGCTGCCGTCCAACGCAGGAGGAAACTCAAGGAGCAGCCCGGGGAGATGGCCACACAGCCGACAGCTCCTCCACCGGCGGCCAAAAAGAACAAATACTATGCGGAGAAGACCTGCGAGATTTGCAATCGAAAGTTTGTCAATGGCAAGACGCTCTCCAAGCATGTGAAAACTGTGCACAACAAAATCAAGCCATTTATCTGCAATGTTTGTGGCAAAAAGACGGCGCGAAAGGCTAGTTTGATAGTAAGTCTATGGGATTATTGTGATCGTTTCTTTAGAGAGTTAACTTAATTCCTTTCCCAGATCCACATGCGTCAGCACACCGGCGAAAAACCTCTACAATGCGGCGAGTGCAAGTTCTCCACTCGGGATCCCAGTGTCCTGCACAAACATCGGCAGCGCCACGATAGTCAGGAGACCAGGAGCAGCCTAAAATGCAGCCAATGCGAGTACTTTTGCATCCAGGCTAATGCCCTAAAGCGCCATATGCGCCTTAATCATGCCGACGCATATCGAGATCTATGCTGCGATCTCTGCAGCTTTACCTCTATTAATGCCGAACGTTTGCAAGCCCACAAGCAGGATCATCGAAAGGGCTTGATTACGAATTGTGAGGACTCCATGGATGCCACACGAGCTGCCGGGTTCAAGTATCCACGCAAGTTGGGCGACAAGAATGGCGAGGTGAGCTTAACTTACTACCGTTGGAAACTGTTGGTTTATCTTTAAATAAATTTAGATATCAGCAGACTGTTTTATGCCGCTGGAGAGTGTGGATTCGTTGCCCCATGAGCCAGCTGTCGACACTGGTGGAGTAACCATACCAGCCCCTCCATCCGAGGACACTCAATTCCCCACGTATTTAAAGGACTAAACTTATTAAATTTAAGATTGGGATGTAAGTCAAAATTTTTTTGTTATTTCTCTTTGACTTCCCCTTTTATTCAATGGATATTTAGACACTTATCAGTGCGTATATTTTTTAATATACCAAAGCCTGTACCTATTTACAATTTAATTTGTTAATTGTTGGCGTGTCCGTTGCGCTGTAAAAAGTTATGTATTAAATAATGTTCTCATGCAGTTTGTTTTTGGGGATTTAAATGCTCGTTTATTAAGTTGTTCAGTTTTTCCATTTAATTTTAATATCATTTTAGAATCTGATATGATTTTTTTTCAACATTCGAATTATTTAGTCATGCTGGTTTACCGTGTTCAGTTTTAATTATCAGTTATGTTTTAGTTTAAACTAATTTAAAATTTAAAAATCTACTCTGCTGGCGATAATCATCCGGTTTCAGTTCGGTTTCAAGATCAGCGCTTTTAATCTAGGTTACGACAGAAATGTTTTCAATTGTTTTTTTTTTTTATTCGGGCAGTTTCGCTAATAACTTGTTAAGTTTTTAATATTTAATTTGATTTCAATTAGTTTAGTAGTTGAGCTTTACGTTTGGTTTAATATAATTATTTACGCTTGAATGTAATCAGCTGCAGGCAGCAGGTTCTAAAATTATGCACCTCCTCTCCTTTTGTTCGCTATTAGTAATTGAAATAAGTTACCACCGAGTTGCAAAAGAATAGATTTTAACATTTATTGTCTGAGTTTGATTCGATATCAAAACATGTTCACTATTTGAGAGTGCAAATGAGGAGTACAGTTTAATGACAAATAAAACGCTCAATGTAAAATTGTTAATATCATACAGCTTCTATTTGTTTTATTTACAGTTCTTAAAATGAAGAAGAGTATCAACAAAAATAGCATTTCGACTGATTCACACTCTGCTGTGCTGTCTTTTCGGAGTCCCTGATCCCTGCTCCCTCCTTTTTGGCCAGCCCGGGTACTTGGCTTTGCTTTGCTTTGCTTTGCTCTGCTTTGATCCCCGAGCCTTAGATCTTGGTCTCAACGACGGCTTTTTTCTTCGACACAAATAGGGATGTTCAAAGAGAGAATACAAAATAGAAAAGGATTCGATTAAGTTAGCTGCCATTGAGCCCAGAGCCAACATACGAGGACTACCATGCAAAGATTGGATTGGTTTTGAATTGAATTGAATTGGTTTTGGTTTGGTGGTGAGGGAGCAGGCGCTAGATGATGTGTCATGGAGCGAACTGTGCACTTTGGAGACAACAACATTAACAACAATGGGCGTGAGCTGACTGAATGACTGCGATTCGATTGGGGTTTTGAGTACTTTGAATACGACGAGATACCACTAAGTTGTTGGCTTGATTTAGCTTTGATTATGCTGATATTATCCATGATCACTACAACGTCTATTAAACAACTAACGAATTCATCTAGCTTCTATATATATATTGACATATTCGACTAACCACTGCTGCGTCCCCCTGGCGACTAAATTACGTTTACGATGCCATCCATCAATCTTAAAATGTAAAACATGTTCCACTTACGATCTACACTTGGAATTGTCGATTAATCTCACTTCCATCCGCTTACTCCTTTGGATTTTTACCATTTGTTTTATTTTGTTTCATTAATCTTTTTTTTTTTTTGGTTTTGTGCGCCGCATAATAAATGCTGTGGGAGTTTCTGAAACATTACCCAAAAAAACTAACCCCACCCATCTGAACTCGCTTAGTCGGTTTGATTAGCATAGTACGATACACTTAAAGGCTATTAGGAAACAGTTGTATCTACATAGGTCTATGAGTACTCTGTTGGAACCAAACACACGAACCTAGTGGAAGTATTAACTGGTCAGATCTGTCCGATTTCTGGTCCTCGTCCTCGTTCTTGTCATTGTCCTTTCGTGTTACGCAATCGTTAGTATGTACAGTGTGTGTGTGTATTTGTGTGGGTCGAGTTGGGAAATCATATCGAAAATACATACGAAAAATCCTAGGCCTAGAAAATTGCTTATAAAATTGCGCGACACTAAAAAAAAAATGGAAAAGGACACGAGTCATCCGAGTCTTGCGATCTATAAAATAGAGGTTAATACAAATAGAACCAACGAAATCCTACGATCTGTAACGGATTCGCTCTCATATAAATGCATTTTAAAAAACAGGTGAACGATTTTGATTTTGATTCTGGTTTGGTTTTGCTTTTGGTTTTGATTTCGAAAAAGAGTTGCCTTTTCATTTGATCTTTTCATTGTTGCGTTTCGCATTCGCGTCAGTTGTAATTGTGGTTTCTGTTTCTGTATCATTTGGTTGGCTTGTGGTGGCGATTCTGGTGTCTGTTCCGGGGCACAATTCTGCACGTTAGTGGCCGTCGAGCATCAGACCGTGGTCACACGGTCGATCTCCACGTAACGCACAGAATTGTCGCTTTGTCAGCAAATCACCTCCTTTTCATCCAAAACGGCCGTGTCCATCGAGCTGAGCGATTTAAGGCGCGTCTGCAGCACCGACGAGCCGCGCAGCTTGCGTTTGATTTTCCTAAAGAAGGGAAGTTAATTTATTTGCTGATTAAATAACAAATTTTATGAAAACAACTTACTTGTAGGCAAAGGCAGCGAAAGCACAACACGAGAGCACAAAGATCAGGCATAGGGTGGCCAGGATCTCGGCGGGCAGTTTCATCAAGGCCGAGCACTGGAGGAAGGTCTCATCATCTCCGGAAGGACAATGAACAACACCATCGCACCAAACACTTGCATTCACACAGGCAGCCAGTTCTGCGCACTTAAATTGGCAGTCCTCTGCGAGATTGTATAATAATAATCGAAATTCTACCTAAAGGAAGATAAAGAAAAATCCTACCTGCAATACTGAGCGTGGGCCTGGGAATCAATTCCATCCAATTAAAGAAGTACTCGCCATTGCCAGGACGCAGAAACTCCACGCTGATGGCCCTGGATCGATTGATGAGCGCAAAGTTGGGTCTCTCATTCCAACCGGAGCTGAAAATCTCCACAAACTCATAGGCACTCGAGTCGGGACTCAGTGGGCAGGCCACAATGGTTAGACCTTAACGATTTAAGAGTTATTAAGGACTTAAGCTTATAAAGATGCAAAGTAAATTACCCTCCGAAGTGGTCAGCACGGCCCTTGACTTGGTCTCACATCGCCAGGTGTCTGTTTGAACATAGGTCGTGTTTAGAGTCTTCATGGGATTGTGTTTGCTCAAGAATATGGCCTTCAGTCGCACATATAAGAACTTATTGCCATTTGATGGCTCAATCAACCATGGTCTTGAGCGGCACTCCACCTTAAAGAGATAAAAGTACAATGTAATTAAAGCAATCAAAGGCTAAGGGAGCTACTTACATCTCCAAAGGTCATGTCTATGGTGCCACTGGGTCCGAACTTTCGGCGACCATCCTTGCAACTTGTCGGCGCCTTGACAAACTCGAACATGCCCTCGAAATTAACCGTATCCGGATCGTCCAAGGTGGTCATGTTTTGGGCAATGAAGTGCACCTCCACATCGCGACTTGTGGAAGTGTACTCCACCGGCAGGTGGGATTGGTTGGAGGAGTTGCACATGCAGCCGCGATGCAGCAGTATTGAATCGTGATAGGGGCGTTCAAAGATCTGTGGGGACAGCCTTTAATTATAAAAGAACTCTGGATTTATTTAGTTTATATCTACCTCGATTCTGACATTTGTATCGCCATAGCAAAAGGAACGATTGATATCCTCATCCACTCGGGAATAGCAGGCTCTATTGGTGGTTGTCACCTTTCTCATCTTGATTCGGACCCTCTCGCCGCGTTGTGCCTCGAATTTGTAAATGCATTTCAGGTTCCTAGTGCCTCCTCTTCCGAACAGAAAGATATTGCGCACACTACGAAAGATGGCCGGATCCTTGCGATCCATCATGCTGCTGAGGAACTTCCGGTTGCAATCGTGTTCGCCGCCACCATAGGGTAAACCATCCTGATGCAGATCTATGAACTCGTACTTCAGCTTAAAGTCCAGCGGTCTAACGAAGGGGGGTTACCATTATGTTGTATGATAAACTATTCTGTAAGGAAAACCCACCTCAGCACTGTGGATTCCGTGTTACGCAGCTCCAAAGTGATGGCATCGCTGCTGGACACATAACTCTCGGATATTGTGCAGGGTCTGGCGTAGGTCTCATTGATATTGGAGCGATCGCAGGTGCGTGGAATAGTGCCCCGGCAGAATCTGGCAATCACATTGGTGGAGTTGTGGGCATAGTGTCCCAGGGTGTTATAGCTACTCGTCTCGCTGGCACTAAACACAAATCATTTATCAAATATTTTAGCTTATTTGCATATAGCCACCTACCAGTTCAAGTCCTTGCAAACGGGTGCATCCCTAAGAGTTCCATCCCAGATGCGCAGCATGCCGCTGCAATCCTCCTGCGTTTGCAGCACTCCAATGGCCCCCACAGATGTCTCGTCCATCTGGCCAAATTCCGGATCCAGGTTGAACTTCAGGATGGAAATCCACACCTTAAAGCGGGAAAGTGGCTGGTGCATGCCCGATTGACTGCTCGTTCGGCGCGACAAACTGAGGTGGTCGAAGGTCTTGAAGACGCCCAGACCCTGCAGATGGTACAGGCACGTGGAGTTCGGGGCCAGCGAGTGCTTGGGACTCTCCAGGATGCCACGGCCTGCTCCGCGAATCCAAAACTCGCAGGGCTTCTTGTTCTTCGAGTACGTGGGACTCTGGATGTCCACGAATTGAACTTCAACCTGTGGCGGTCAAAAGCAACATCAAGTGGCTGCATCCATTTGGAGCCCTGCATCCGGTATATCCACTCACCTCCAGCTGGAATCCGTAGAGCGGCAGGACCTGCGACGAGGTGCCGGTGAAGGTGCCAAACGGCGACGTGCTGAACTCGACCAAAAGCTCCGGGCCGCTGGAAACGGCCGCCGGCACCGCCTGACCGCCGCCACAGAACTTCAATATGATGGGGTCACGTGTGGTGTATCCATCGTACACGGTCACGTAGTCCTGCGGGTGCGGAAGGACACCCAGTGTGTGCGTGAGAGCGAGAGAGAGAGAGAGAGAGAGGGGAGAGACAGAGAGACGGGCGAGAGAAGAAGGAGAACAGAGTGGGTGAGGAGAGAGCGAAATGAGTGAGTCGGGCGACAAATGTGGGCGGTGCTTGTTGATTTCACCATGTGGGTGGCACTAACTAACTACACAGTGAAAAAAGACCCCTACATTTTTCGGAAATGTCATTTGTCTTAAAAATACAGATTGTTTTGCATTTTAAATATCGAAAAAATTTAAATGGCAAACAAATATTAAAGTGTCAATTACAGGGACAATTAAAATTTTTTTTTTAAAACCTTTTATTTGATAAAGTTAAAGTTAACAGTCGTTCAAAAAATAATGAAAAAAGAGATAAAAGCAAAGTCTAATATTAATAAAACAGATCTCTAACAAAAATTGTTATTACAGTATAATTAACCTCTAAGAAAGCGATTAAAATGGTCCCTATAATTGTTACTTTTATATTCATTTATTTAATTATAGCTAAGAACATTAAAATTTTTTTTTCGATATTTTAAATGTGATTCTACAAATTAATTAATTTTTTTTTGTTTTTTAAAAGTGTTAGAAAATAATTACTTTCGAAATAATGAGCGCAATGTTTGATTCTTAGTGTAGTAATTGAAGCTAAGGCCGAATTTGGCCAAAAAGGGGGCGAAATGGGCTGAGTCGAACTGAGTGCGAAAGAACGGTAATTGCTGTAAAGAAGTGGACCCAAAGTGCAGCTGGCTCTCGTATTACTTAATGGCCACTGTACGTATACGTGATTTTTGGTTACATTCCGCTTCCCAGGACGATGGAAAGTAATGGTGCGGTGTGTTAGCTAAGCGAAAAGGGGCTTATAAGGACTTGGAGCAGGTCTAAGTAGTTGAGCACAATGGCTTTGATGTGTCCGGCACTTGATGCCCACTAAATGTCGAACATTTTAAGCTCATTTAAAGTTTGTTTGAATGAATAAAACATGTTTATGCGGTTTTTCTAAGGGTTTATTAGAAGTGCTTCATGTTGAAAAAGGCCTTTTACTAAAATTAAGTCTTTGCGGTCGCTTAAATGGTTTTCTAGCTGTTTGTGCCTGACTTTGGTTGTGATAAGAAAGGTTTTAATAGAAGAATAAGGCGAAATAAGATGATAATATGCTAAATATAACACCTTTTAAGGTTTTTATTTTATCCATTTAAAAATTTAAAAAAATATGTCAAAAAGTATTTATTGGCCTTGGCACTGACCTAAAATATTTATTAATTTCATCGACTTCTTCGGTACATTATGGTTATTAGGGTAATAGGGAATGGGTAATACCCAAATTTGCAGTTCCCATAAACGTAACATGCTCATTTGTGTGCGGTTTCTACTGGCTTTGCCGTTTGGCGCATAATTGTGCGCATTTTAATTGAGTTGGCCTTGCGAGGTGTGGGTGTATATGGTTATGGTGCCCATGGTGGTAATGGAATTCGGACTGAGTCCCTGTCCATGGGCTTTGCCTACCTTTGGCCAACGCATGACAAATTAGTTTTGTGGCCAGCGACTTTTTGCATTAATTTAGCTGAGGTTTCTGTTTCCTGGTCGCCCTTGTTTGTGCAGCTGGCCGCAAATTTAAACTATGCCAGCAACCGCAGACCAGATTCCGGGCCGGAGCCACAGCCCGCACAACCGTGCCAGTGGTCCAGGTAATTTGTGACCACAAATTTATTGAAAGCGCGGCATTTGTACAAATTAGTGGAGACACAGATGGGGGATATATAAGGATAAATGTGGAGATTACCTTTTTTCCCCTACTTTTTTGGTTGCATAAATAAGCGGGGTAGGGTTACTAGGCTCTACCATGTGATATATAAAAATATTCATTGCTTTAAAAGGAAAAGCCAATTGCTTATAACAATGGAAAAAGCTGGTAAAAATTTATCAATATCACTCAGTTGTTTGTTATTTTATATACTTTGATTCATTTTTTATATACTAACTCTCTAGTTTATTGATATGAAAACTTTAATTTCTGATCGCGCAAAGTTTATTTATTTATCAATATTTTAAGTACCAATGTTTTTGTTTTTAAATTTAAAAGGATTAATTTGTGAAAACGCAAAGCTAGTTCCCTTTTTATATTTGAAGCAATTATTTGAATGAAAATGTAATAAAAATGTATATAAAAATCACAAATTGATAATTTATTTTTATGGATTTTTTCCATGTGTGCACTCCTGTTCCCGTGCCCAGTTCCCCATTCCTTTCGTGGAGGTCAGGCTGCAGGACTCTCAGTATCCGGCGATTATTCACACATGCCGCACCAAAATGGCCAGCACTTTTGGACATTTTGGCTTAAGAGCGCGAGACAAAAAGTGGGAAAAAGTTGGTGGGAAATGGCAAGCGGAGGACAATTTGTAGGCAGAGTGCACAGGCGCAGGGTCCTGCAATCCTTGCAAATGGTGCTAACGTCCGAGCGGATTGCTTTCCAACTGAATAAGCAAAAAGTAAAGGGGTTAGCTAGGCTAGGTTTCTCGGGGTAAGGAGAGTCCAAAGTGGAAATGCAGGAAGGGATTTGCACGCCTTGCTGCCACAACGAGCATTTAATGGGGGAATTACTGAGAGCTGGGGCAGGGGTCATCCTGCCCCGTCAGAGGGATTTTGTTGCGAAGCGAAATTGAATAGTTGCTGATGACTAAATGGGCAACTAAAAGCAAAATTCCTCGACACGGAAATCGTCAAAACGTTTTAGTGGAGTGGAGATTCCTTATCCTCATGGGGGATGGAATGTCTTTGACCGCTGTGGCAGATCAGCTTAAAGCGGTCTGAATGGAGCCCGGAAGTGGGATATCCACCAGGAGTGGCATCCTCTCACTGCTCTTCTGCTTTTGTATGATGAATGCCCGGGGCAATTATTTACATGGGACCCCGGCACGTTCGTCCGCTAATGTCCTTGATGTCCTCAGACCTCAAGCCCGCCTTGTGTGTGCGATTTATGATGTGCGTGCCAAGTGTTCATTAATATAAATCCAATGACAGATTCTTCCCCTCGCGTGTGTGCTAATGAATATATTATCTAGTCTATAGATATTCCATTGATGTCGATTTACCCAGATCATTTTGATTTGCTGTTTGTTTGCTGGGGTTTAGGGGGCAGTGCATACATTTAGCTTGATTAATTGTTTTCGAACAGCGAGATATGGCAAATAATTGTTACTAATCGTGGGGGGGAGACATACGGAGAGAGTGTTTTGGGGGTGAAATGGGTGTTTGGGTGGTTGGGTGTCAGAACTCAAGTGCTCAATATGTCTACTGCTAAATTGGTTTGTGGCAACATGAGTTTGAATTGATTTGAATTGAATTGAATCGCATTGAACTGAACTGAGCGAGGCATTTTCTTTAGTCTTGCATTACCGTGGATTTCCATTTGGGCTTTACATTTTCCTATTGGAGAAAATATACATACATTTAAAGGTACTTCAGCATTTACTGGTTATATAGCGAAGAGTAGTTTGGTGCAGTTTAAATGAAGTGGTTTTCAAAAAAGAAATTGTCTAGGGGTTTTGGGGTGCCTTTCACTTTCCACTGTCCAGAATTTTCTATCATATTCTCTCTTGTTTCCTTTTTTAATTCCTACTTCTGGTTATTCAAACTTTTTGCATTTTCAGAAAACAACTGGATTCTTAAGGGAGACATTTTCTATAGGACTCCCAATTGAGATAATCCAGGAAAATAATTGCTTTTTCCCCTTTTGTTTAAAAAGGTTTCTGGCACAAATAGTTTTTCTTTTTCCTAGTTACCTTACTCAATTTCTTGTCTAGTTCCTGTTTTATTTTTAACACAATTAAGATGCCATCATTTAGCCCTACTTCTTGGAGAAAATCCTTTCACCAGCTTATTTCTACACTTCGTTTTCCTCATATTTTCCGTTTTTCTGGCTTATTCCCCTATTTATACTCCATTCTGCATACACAACACTCATTAAGAGCTCATCCAAAAGTTGCCCCTTTTAAGTTGGGGGCTTTATGGACTCCAGTGCGAGTCCCGCTCCCCGTTGCCAAACAAAGAGAAGGGCTACGAAATTAACACTTCCCGCGACTGGCCGGCGAAGCCTATCGACTGCTTAAGGCAATGTCGGACGGAGGACTTCGTCCTGGAACTCGGACTCGGACATGGACATCGGACATCGGGCATCGGATGTGGAGGCGTACACACAATGCCGGGGCAATGACAGTGGAAAATCGGTGGAAAATACGGGGCTGTGGGTTGGAAAAAAAGGAGTGCAAACAACTGATTTCAGATTTTTGCTCATTTCTTTTTCAATTTGTCGTTTTTTGCGCAGTTTTACCCCTCCCCCCCTTAGTTTTCCGCCCGAATTTTCCCGCTGGCCCTGTTCGCCGGCCAATGGCCAACAGAGGAAGTAATTTTTATGCTGGATCTCTCGTTAAAGTTGGCAAATGCAAACACACAGAGGAGTTCATCGCAGGGACATTTACAAATACAGATAAAGATACAGGCGAGATGCCCAGATACAGATACAGATACAGATAGATAGAGAAAGAGAAAGAGATAGAGGCGAAGGAAAGTGCATTTAAAGGCAGATTTAATTACCTGAATGTAATCGCAGTCATTCCATGTTTTCAGCCTCGGCTCGAATTTCTTATCCTTGTCGCTGGCACTCGGTGGCGGTGCCATTTTGTTCGCCGTGGCCGTTTCCTGGGTGGAAATCCAGACCAGATTGCCCTTGGGCTGTTTGACTAGAATCAGGGCGTGTTTGCCATGGGGCACGTCGTGCTGTGTGGACAGAAGAATTAAATGCAAATTAATGAGCCGCAGCGCACAGAATGTTTTGTTTGACAGTCCCATTCTACCTCCCCCCTCCCCGCTGAATTAGTAGAATTAATTGGAGCATTTAAATTACGCAAAGTTCGCTCCGCGGTATTTTCTGGTCAGTCTTGTAACTTGTGATTGATCTTTGTGTTTTACTTTTTGTTTCTTCTCCTTCAAATGGGACATTAAAGTTATAAGATAATTAGAAAAGCAATCTTCTATTTTTATTTAGATTTGAATTTTAAATACAATTTAAGAGCTCTTTTGAGGAACTAGAAATAATACAAAAGTAAATATTATATATTTTGGGCTTTTGCCATTTTTTTTTAGCTTTTCTTTTTAGCTATTTTTTAGGACAACTTTCTAAAATATAGAAAAATATTTCTATGAATGTAGGAAACTTTGAAACTTTTTATATTTTGATTTTCCACAAATGCATATTGTTGATTTAAATCAAATTTATAATTTTCATTAAATTATTATTAATTGTGACGATAAAATGGACAAACTAGAGTACAAAACAAGTTTATAGAGCATTAAAAAATGTTTAATTATTTACAAATAAGTGTATATAAAAAGCTACACTATACCGAATGTCGGTCTTTATTCCTGGTTTTTGTGTGGTACCTATACAGCTATAAGCCGGCGTTGTCCATGACTTTGAACTACGTGATTTCCAAATATAGCCTCGTTTTACTTTTTATGCTCTGTACAAGATGAGGAGCCAGTAAACAATTTGTAATTTTAAATGGACGTCCCCAGCATGTGAGACCTTTAGCAGTTGATTGCCAATGGCAACGCGTCCGGCCAGGAAAACCCCCGTCGGGCTGGAGCAGACATATTAAAAATGCCAAAGAGGCTGGGATCGCTCCAGACGGCAGTCTCTGCTCCTCCAGTTAATTATAATAAAAGCCCATTCTATTTTGGAATGTAAATTGCCATTTAATTTTTGTTCTCCCTTGATTTCTGAACTTTGTTGTGGCATGAATAAAAATAAGGCACAGCACTTTACGCTCTGTCTGTATTTTTATGACCCAGCAGCAAGAATGCCCGCAGAATTCAGCGTTGCTACGAAGTGTCTAACCTTTTTGGCCTGGCACGGCTTGTAACCCGGAACATTAGACTAGCTGGCTGGAGTTTAATTTCGTTTTAATTGTTCTTTGCTCACCTGTCGCACTGCGTAGTAGCAGGTGAGGTTGCGGGGATAGATGCCGGGAAAGTTGGGCGACTGCAGCCGGCAGGGCTTCTTGTCGCAGTCGCTGAAGATCCTGGAGCAATACGTTCCGGGTATAAGGTCACCTGCGAATGCGAGAAACAGATGTCACACCCAGAAATAATATTTAATGAGTCATTAAAAGTGGTCTTAGCCGGGGAAATGAATATATTTAATTAATGAGAATTATTTGGCACGCATTAAATATGTTGAAAAATAGGATTCTTTAATAAAAGGTCTTTTAATTTTGGATTTGTAAAAATACCATTTAGAAAATTTATTTTATAAAAAGGTTGCTGTAAAATGTAAAGTTCTAAATTTTATAATTTTAACTTTTTATTTTGATTTTATTTCCAAAAATAAATGGAAATTTTATAATTCTTTCGCAAGTAATGTTTGTAAATATTTAGTTGTGGACCCAATGTAAAAATGCTATATTATTTACTGCATTTTTCTCAGTTGAAGGTTTTGTTATATCATTTAGGTCTGGGAATAATAATAACAACCTTAAAATACGTTTCATTTTAATATTTAATTAATTTATATAGTTTAAAATTTTTCCTTTAAATTGTTTGTAAAACTAAAACTATCTAAAGCAGTTTGTTGTCTGTTGATCTTTAAATTCAACAAAATTTGTTAATAAAAGTTTAAAAAAATGTAAATCATTTTTATAACTTAAAGTGATTAATTTGTTTAATTTCTCAACTCACCCAAATAGTATTTGGGCTCCGTGTAGTTTTGCTCGTCCTTGGCCAGTGACTTTTCCAGCGAGGCCATGAAGGTCTTATTGTTGGCATAAGCGCTGAACAGACTGAAGTCCTGGCCATAACGGTCCGAGCGGGCTCCACTGGAGTTGGTGAAATCCTCCAGGACACCGCCACCTTGCTGCTGCTGCTGCTGCTGCTGCTGTTGTTGCTGTTGCTGATTGAGGAAGCTGCTGCGGTTGTGCCACTGGGCCAACTCTGGAAAAAGGGAAATCAGTTGAGCGGATTAGGGACTCGGCTCGACTTCAGTCCCGGTGGTCGCACGCACCTGCCAGCTTAATGCCCCCGTAGCGGGTCACCGAACTGTCCCTGGACAGAACCTTGTATCTGATGCGGAAGTCGAAGTTGTAGCCACTCTGATCCCTCGCCAGTCTGTGGGTGTGGGTGTGGGTAATGCATAAACGTAAATTGGGGTCAGTTAATTATATCGGATGCGAACTCGGGACGCACCTGTTCAGCCGGATGGTGAATATCAGGGAGCGCGTTTCGCTGTAGAAGAGCACTGGTCCCCAGGAGCTGCCGCACCACATTCCGCCGATGGGCGTCCGCGCCGATTCCGCTATCTGCATATAGCCGTCCGGACAACCCTCATGAACGTACGAGGTGAACCTCCCAATCGTGAAGCTGTCCAGGGTGACCTAGGGCGATTCGGGCAATGAACATGTGAGTATATTCTTTTTAGAAGGCCTAAATTGCCCATAAGGCTACACTTCAAATAAAGCACAACTCATAAACCTTTTTCCTAATGTTTTCTTTCGTGGGAAAAGGTTTAGTTAATCTTCAAGCTATGTTTTTGGAAACACTTTTGTAATTAGATAGACATGGAAACTTAAAAAATAATCATAATTTCATAGATATAAAATTGCAAATTTAAAGAAACCTTTTAAGTTTTTCATTAAAGTAAAATTATTAGTTTAGGATAATAAAATAAAAAGGACCAGACGGACATTTAGTATGTAATATTTTTAACAGCCTAATGTTTGCTTATAATTATAAAATTTATTAGTCAAAATTTTTTGTATTAATTGGTAATTATTGTAAATTTCATAACAAATACTTGTATTTATAAAAAATGTACTCTTAAAGCTTTGTCCTTATTAACTGTTTTGAATTGGATAATATCTCTACTTAACTTTTATTTAAAAATTTTTCAATCTTTTAAAGGGTTAGACTTAATACTTTTGAAAATAATCTACACTTCGTAAGTTGCCCTAAGATAAATCATTTCAGATTTTTAGGAAACTTAAATGATTTGAATAAAATCCCTACAGGAAATTAAAAATTCGATTCATTGTTAAGTAGTTAGTTAAGTAACCATAATAGATATGTTAGTGATTCAAATAAGGAAAATCGCTTAAACTCTCTGTTTGTTTTTCAATTACATTACATTGGCGGGCACATCTAGGAAAGGTAAATGTTTTTACTCCTCCCAATTGCATAAATCTGCTCGAATCTAGCATAGTCTCCCTGCTTGGCATAAAATATTTGCAGGATGTGCCGAATGGGGGGGTGTCAGTAATAAAGTTTCGGTCAGTGCTCGTAGCTCAGTGGATAACAGTGCCCAATGCTCTTGGGACGCACTCGAGCATGCCAAAGGCTTTGGCTGGCTGCCTGGTGCTGCTCCTTTGGCCCCTGCTCCTCATCCTCCAGCTGCTCCTCGTCCTCCAGCGGCTCCTGCATCCTTCATTCCAATTGGAGGTGTGAAGTGGCGTAATAACTAACAGGCGCCGGCACTTTCTTCCTGTTACCCCGAAAATGGGGAGGTGGTGCAGCATTTGCTACGCTCTAGCGAGTGGCTTTGAAATCAATATTGCTTTTGCCACCCACAATCCGCAACCCATTTATACAACCTACCACCCCCCACCCCTCCCTCCATTTCAGGCAGCGCCATTGTTGTTGCTTATCTTTTAATGGCGTAGTTTATCCCGTTACAAAATGAAATGTGAAAGGCAGTGGCAGCTGCAGAAAGGGGAGGACTTCTGCAGTTAAAGATACACCGGAAGAAAAAATGCCTTACGTCAAAATAGGTCAAACTTTTTTTTTTTATGAAATCTTTTTATTACTCTTTGACATACATCACATTTTTTTTAAATCAATTTATAACAATTACCATAAAGATCCAATAAAAATTTGACTAAAGAGAATTAAATTCTGACCTTTAAAAAATGAATTTCATCACTGCATGTCATCACCACAGCATTTTATAATTATAAAGCAACATTTAGCTGTAGACAATGCGACATTATTCAGATCCTTTTTTCATTAAAATCAACTCTTTGACATTCGACACATTTGTTTAAAATCAAATTTGTAATAATTACCATATTGATATACAAAAAAAAATTGACTAAAGCAAATTAAAGTCTGACCTTTAAAAAAAAACACTTTTTCACTTGTCATCGCCACATAATTTTATAATTATAAACTAACAGTTAGCTGTAAAAAATACGATATACTATAAATCGGCAGGTCCTTAATTTTTTATAATCTCAATTTTATAATTTAGTAATTTATAATTACTCTAATTTATATTTATATATATATTTATATATATATTTATATATATATATATATATTATCGTAATGGTTTGTCAACCAAATTATTTTATATAATGCAGTTTTACAAACACGCAAAACATTTGATTAAAATAAAATCTTAGTAGTAATCATTGACCGAATAATAAGGTTTTAAATTAAAATAACTAAACCTTTTTAGTACAAATTTTTTTGACCCTGACCCGACTCACCTGCACCACATCACCATGTTGGCCACCTGCCGCCGTGAAGGTGAGCACACACACAAAGGGCACGCGATCCTGTTTGGGGCGGTGCAACTCCAAGGAGTACGTCTGGCCGATGTCCCCGTAGTAGGTGCGATTACAGCCTGCAAATATATATATTAAACGCAATTAGCGTTAGTTCGGCAATTAGTTTGTTTGCCTCGCGCGTAACCAGGCAACTCAAACTGATATATATTCCCCCGCAAACCCCAAAAGGGGGGATACCTTTTAATAAAACCCATGAGTCGCCCGGAGGAGGGGCAATTGTCACGCCATAAATCATCGCCTTACTAAGGCAGATGCTAACACAAAGTATCAAATTAACATAACATTAACTTCATATGCAAACTGATTGGAACGCAAAGTAAACTAATCCATTTACGTGAATAATTTAAGATACTTAACTTTTAATGTATTCGCATTTTGGTAGAGGGTGGTAAATGTGTGCCGAACAATTTGTGGTAAATTTATTCAACTTCATCTTTAAGATTAAGTTAAACAAATGTTGTTTACGGTTTTGATTGTGGTTTATATTGCTTTTATCAATTGAAATGTATCAAGTTAACTGAACATTAACCTCTTGTGCAAACTACTTTTTGAGGCTGAGATATATGTCTGTTTAAATAAATTTAAATGGAGACAAATTTATTTCTTCTTCTTAGCCTTTTTAATTTACCCCAAACACAAAACTTAAAGCAAGCTACAAAGTTCTAATTTAAAATTTGAATAGTGGCTTTTGTTTTGCGGAAAATTTTAGCTTTGGAAGTTTCCCCCACAAGTTGATTTTCTTGGTTTTGAAGCAAAAATTAATTGGATGGTTGTGCAATGATTATCAAGCTTCTGATTGCGAAATACGTTTCCCTATCGTTGGTTATCGCTTGCATCAGATTATTTTAATAATAAGCATGCCCAGTTATTTTTGAGCTTGTGCTTGCTTTGAGTAGATACTCTGAACATTTTCCAATTGAATTGTTTACGTTTAGCGAATAAATAAAAAAACCATAGACTAACCCTTTTCCAAGCTTTCATTCGATTACGTATTCGCATTCGGAATTCCTTTTCATAATTGAATGACCATAAACTGGAATGATTTATGCTTGGGCGATTTGCATTTATGGAATTAAGTCCTGCCCTTTGTAGTTTGTCCCCAAAACAAAGTGAGGGTCATGGCAAAAGTAGTTTGCATGGAAATTGCCAATTTCTTCTGGGCTCCTTCAATATCCCGTCCCTCTCCTCGGGCATTTCAATTAGTTTTATTAAAAATGCATACGAATCTAAAAGAGACAGGCAATGCGGACAGCCCCTGGATAAAATAATTCAATTCGAATAAATTGCTCAAGTGTTGGTAGTTCCTACTGCTCTAATTGCTTTCTGTGCATTCAATCAAATTTATTATGCGCTTAGCCATCAATAGTCAATTAGATAACTATGCAATTGCATGGGAAATCAATTATCAGTCAGTCAGGCCTTCAAGCGATTTTCTGGTGGGCGCAGTTCGCGGGGGCGTGTCTATAATTGCCACTGCAACAATAGTTAATTATAAGCATTTAGGTACGATTTAATTATAGTTTTTAAGTGGCACAAAAACGTTTGTGTAATCAATGTTGCAGTTTTTGGATATTAGGGTTTTGTGGAGTCTCATCAATTTTATTTAAATAAAATTGGGATTTTTAAATAAATGTGATACAATTGTTCAATGGTTTGGGTAACAGAAAAAAGGTTGGTATGTTTTTGATTGCTCACCAATTTCTTTCCATTGTTTAGAACTTGTGTTTAGTAAAATTGTTTGTATATTTGTGCATTTTTAATGTGTTAATCTAAACAAAATATTTTCCCTCGGGAAAAGAGAAACAGTTTTTATGTCGACCTAAATTAAATTCTCATTAAATTATTTTTTTGAACGACCTTTTTTTGTGCGTCTAAGCAATTGCTAATTTAAACTCCAAGTGGGACAAAAGTGGGTATATTTTTGCCTCCCAAACAAACACATACATATTTGCCCGCTCGTTGTTCAATTAAAATCCCCACGAGTTGTCGCTGTCCTTGTTCACCATAGTGATTGTCCCTTGCTATGGCCGCCCGCCTCATTGAATGTCATTGAAAAATACTTAATTAAATTCATCAACGCTTGACATGACGCGCCCGGCGGCAACAGAAACAGCAGCAGGACATCCCGGGGGAGGGGAAGGGGAGGCAAGTGGGAGGGACTTACTGGCAGCCAATTGGCAAAAGTGAGAAGTTCACTTTGCCGCCATTATGAGGGCCAATGGAGGGCCCAAAGTGGGAGTGTAATGGGTGGGTGGCTGGCAATCTGTGTGGTGCTCCATGTGCGAGTAGGGAGTGCTTAATTACATTTACACATGGAGGCCGTGTTTACAAGGGCGGCCAGTGAATGGATGCAACGGAGGGAGATGATTGCCGGACGGTTGTGGGGTTTGACAAGCTTGATTGCTTCCAGGTTGGTACCTGTGCCTGCACTCCATGAGGATTCAGGCTGGAAGCCATTGGGACCCTCACAAATCGATTTGACGAGGGATCTATGGCCATGTTTCTCCCTTTAAAGACAGTTTGCGGGTATATTCATTAAGCAAAAAGGTTGGTGATCAAGGATTTAGGCTGTTTGGCATTCTCTGCTTTCATATCGTGAAGCAGCTTCAAAATAAGTAAAGATTAACCTAAATATATCAAAAAAATGTTCAGACACCGTTGCGTATACGCAATAAAATTATATGGAAAACATATTTATTTATTTGAAGTCGAATATAAAGGTAATTACTATATTTCTTTTTAGCTCTCAAAGTCGATATACCCGACTTTTTAATTACATCTTCTCTGCCCATCAATCGCCTGGTAAATTGGACAAACAATGGCCTTGGCAGGCCATTTCAGGTTGTTTCTCATTATGCTCCGCTTTACATAATTGTTTCGACACATTGTTGTAGCGCCTTCGCTCCATTACTGAACTTTTCTCATTTTCATCACAATCAGAAAAAGTTATTTTTAACTCTTGTTTATTTTTTAATTCAGAAAACTAACTAATTTTGTTTTTTGCTTATAGGTTTAAGAACTCTATGTTTCGAGCGGGTGTAAACTCTTTTTTTTTGCTTATAGGCTTAAGAACTCTATGTTTCGAGCGGGTGTAAACTTTTTGAGTACCAAAGAAAAAGCTTCTTGGAGTTGGACAATATTGCTGCCAGCTTTGAAAAGTCAAGTCGTTATGTTTTGTTTTAAGTAAGTGATTGGCTTACGTATGATGCTGTTTAAAGGTTTTTTGAAATTATAATTTAGTTCCTAACACTTAGTATTCAGTGTTACTTACGTGTGCAAAATCGCGGCTCATCGCTGCCGTCACCGCAATCGTTTAGATTGTTGCAGTACTTGCTCAGCGGCACGCATCTTCCATTGGAGCAGCTGAACTCAGCCAGGGAGCAGCCCGTCGCGGAGGAGCCGGCTGCCAGTTGCAAATTGGCAGGTTTGCCGGGTCCCAAGGAGCTGGAGACGGAGCTGGAGCTGGAGCTGGATGGGGAGCCAGCTGTTCCGGATGCGGAACCGGGAGCAGCTCCTCCTCCAGCGGCAGCAGCTGCTGTGGCAGCCATGCCCAAACTGATGCCCAGGCAAAGGAGCAGCGTCAGAGTCGCCGGAAGTGGATGTCGCCGTTGCTGATGTTGCTGCTGTTTCGGCTGCTGCAACTGCTGTTGCTGCTGATGCTGCTGCTGCGGCTGTTGCTGCTGCGATTGCGACTGACAATGGTCGCTGCAGCTGGAAGTCATTGTGGATGTTGCTGGTGTTCCTGTTGCTTTAATTGCACAACATTGTGTTGGATTTGTCGTCGTTTGCAGCACTTTTAGCATTTTAGCCACATTTCTGTGTCGTTCATTTGGCAGCCATTTGCTGTTCTGCCTCAGTTTGCACCTCGTTTCTCTCAGTCTGCTGGTTCCATTTGTTGTTTTTTTGTGTATTGCTGGGGCAGTGTCTGTTGCAATTATTCGTTGTTTCAGTTTCTTTGGCCTTTTTCTGCTTTTGTATTTCTGGCGCCATTTCAATGTCATTACTGTTGTGTCTGCAAGCAGAGAAGAAGAATATTACGTTACTTTTATTTTGGTGGTAATAGGTATTTCTCAAGATGATATATAGGTATTTCTCAAGATGATATATTAACAAAGTTGAGAAAAAAAATGGTCTTAAAAATTTTCTTGACAAAAATGTTAATAAATACCAATTAGCAAAGCTATTTTGCATTTGATGGAATTTATTTTCTAAGTAAGCATTTATTTAAATAAATAATCACTTATTTATCGAAAATATTGTTGATTTGCAAAGAAAAAAACATTAATATTTGAACTGTCCGTTTGGCTATTTGCCTAACAATTTCAATATAACTAGCCATGTGGAAAATTTTAATTTTTGTACAAAATCCAAAACTTATTAAAAATAGGTTTGTTTATATTCTTAATCTAACTTGGTTGCTAGTTTTAAATTCCTACCTTATTTCCACGAAAATTAAAATGTATGTGCCGTGTTTTAAATTTAATGGAACAATTAAAAATATAATTGAATTCCTAGCATAGTGATTAACAAACAGAGATTTACAGTAGCAACGTTTCCCTCTTGGGGAAATAATTTAAAATATGCAAATGCCTGGGGCAAACCAAATTTTACACGCCTCGCTGCACGATTACACGGCAAATTTATGGCCAAATATTTATGGATGCGAATATATAGGAACATTCGAATAAATTTCCGCGACGCGGCCAATCCTTCGACCAATGAAAATCATAAATATTTGCAGCGTAAACAATTTCTCCTCATGTTTTTGTTTTTTACAACGATTCCTTTTTTTTTTTGAGCGGTGATTTTTTGTTTTATTTTCTGGTTTCACTACGACTTACTCGCATATTTTTCACGCCGAGCTAAGGACGAATTTTCACGCACGTTGCACATTATGGAAAGTTACGAGTATTTTTTTGCTATTTCATTTTTTTTTTTTGGGTTTTTCGTGTTGTTGTGCTCGCTGAGCGTGTAACGGTTTCATTTTGTCCTTGTTTTCCGACTTTTCCACGATCCACTCTACACAATGGATATATGCATGGCGGTCTGGCCCGCCAGTCGGTAGGAATTGATTAATGTGTTTTCGGTGCAACGATGCCGGGTTTGTACGAAAAAGGGGTTTTTCTGGAGGTCTGCCGGGCTGTCGATTGCAGCTTGCCAGTGATAACGATGAGTAGAAAAACAACAGCAGTCTGCTCTCCGCTGCTCCACCTCTGCAAATGATTTATGAATGTTGTTCGGGGCCTTGCAACGCATGACCCCAAAACACTGTCCAACAGCAACGCCGCAGAGTCGGCTAGTCAATGAGTGCCACTGGGAAATTATAGCGTTCGCGTTCGCATTCGGCCAGCGAGAGCGAAAATCGAGGAAAAGCAGTCGAAAAAATACTAGTGGTTGCATAATTTTAAATTAGACGCTCAGACATGGAGCAGACGACCCGGAGGGAAGCTGGTAATGGTAATGGTAATGGTTTGGGGTAAATGGAGGTTTATGGGTGAGCGTAAAAGGGCTGGGAAATGGCATTGGATTTGGGGACAGATTCAGAGATTCAGCGGTGTCAGCAGACAGCAGATGACGCCGGCAACCAGACGGAAACTGATGCCCTTGTTTTTTCCAGCCAGCTTGTTGCACAAGCGAACACGAAAATGCTAAGGGTTCATTTCGAATCGAGGGTAGTGCAAAATCCCTGACAGTAAGGAACATTTTTGGTAAACTCTTCGAAAAGTGCATTTTAATCAGTTGCCATAAACTTTCTTTTTATGTAAATTGGCCTTAAATGCGTTTGTTTTTTTAATTAACCACTAATGGGGTTCCGAGTAGTTCAATATTTATGTATAAATGTAATTTTCTGAATATGCAAATGTAAAAAATTACTGGTGTCTTTTTCCAACAAAATAAAAAAGAGAAAAAAATAAAATTAAGATAAATGGTCTTTTTAATGGGTTATATTTAAAATGTGGTTGTAATGTAGGCAAACATCATGAGCAAGTAACATTTAATGAGCTACGTAAGGGTACCCCAAAAATGATCTTAGTTTTAAATATACAGGGTTTTCGTAAGTATATTATATATAAAGTTTGACTTTCTAGCTTGAATTTTAGATGAGCATACATTAAAAAAAAATTCTAAAGTAAGTGGAAAAAGTAGCTTCATCTTCTGCTTTATGGTGTTCTTAAGAACTTGACACTCTAACCAACATGCCTTTGGCAAATGAAGCGAAGCCAGCGTGTTGTTTTTAACATTTTTATGATCCAACCACTTTGCTACTCCGAATTTCCCATTTCGCCTGCTCTTGGCCATTACAATGTCTGGCGTCAGAGAAACGCGCCACAAAATCGTGCAGTGGTAAAATTATCCCCAAAAGATTGGTCGAAAACTGGACGTTGTCTAGTCGTGCATTAAATTGCTAATAAGTTTTAATGGGGCCAGCTTTGTCTTCAAAGCCAAATGCACTTTCTTAAAGCAAAACATTTTCATTCAGATGGCTTCCCCTTAACTGAATGTCAAAGCATTTCTGCCATTCTTCACGACCCGAGAGCGTAAACAGAAGCTGTTTTCTTTTTTTTATCACTGCAGTGGCTTATCAACCAAGACCCACACACCCAGATATAGCTATCCCCATATCTGTTACGAGCCAGAAGATGGATATGGAGCTGCTGCCGCTTTAATGGATCCCAAAGGGATGGCGTCGATATCAGCTTTCGTCAAGCAGAAGGATGTGCGAATGCCCCCTGTTTGCTCCCAAACGTTGTCTTTGGTGGCCCCACATTTTGCCAGGCTATATTGCCAGCCCCTCCACATATGCAAAATAGTTGCACATAAAAAGTGCCGAAGGACTTGAGACTTCTTGCAGCCAACGGCTGCTGTCAGTTGTCGTTACTGTTGCTGCTGCTGCTGCTGCTGCTGCTGCTACTGCTGTGTTGGAATTGTCGGTAGTCATCATCGTCTTTATCATCATCTGGCACTGGCACTGGCTCCCGCTCATCCGCAGCAACTGTCTGTGGCAAGCCGGAATAGGGTTTGACTTACGGTACACGAGGAAAAATACTGAAAAAAGCTTACCCTTTAATACGAAGGCATTAGAAATTTTTTAATGCATTTGTTTAAATGCATTAATTATTAAGAATAATACGATTTAAAGGATTTCTAAGTGATTAAGGTGAATATTTTTCATTTCGGCATGTACTTGTATAAAAAAACTTCCAAGTATGTTTCTATTTAGTCGAAAAATATAAATACCTTAAAATATTTTGTAAAAATGTAAAAAAAAAATAAATGTAGGTTAATTTCAACATCTTGTTAAATATCAAAAATTTTAAATGAATACTTTCATGTACTTCCCTGACAAATTTTTAATTTTCTTACATTAAATGGAAGGATTTTTCTAAACTTTAAGATGTTCGATAAGCAAAATAAGGAAATTAATTTTAATATTTTTCCCTTGTGTACGTCACTCGTTCTCCCTTGCGTTGCTTTCGATTTCCCCCTTTGCCAAGTTTGCCTCAATGAAATTGGAATGGCGCAGCGGAAAGGGAAGTGAAGACATACGCACACACAGTCCACACCGCCTGCATTTGTGGGCGTGTGACTTTAAATTTTGTTGCATATGCGAGGGCGCTCTGGCCTCTGCGGTTCAATGCATTCAATGCCTTCCCAGACGCCTCATTAGCGCTGCGATTCGCTGCCAAAATGCGAAATGATAATTGCAGCAATTTGGGCACGAAAAATAAGGCGAGACAAATTGTATCGCACGACTTGAAAAGTTGGTCGACGCAAATTGGTGCCAGCGAAGACTCGCCTTGTGGGTTTACTTCGAAGTTGGCAACGGGGCTAAATTGTAACGAGCTAAGCGCACACTCATATGTGTATTCCCAAGTTGCCCCATTGCAAAAAGTCAAATTTCTGTTCGCCACGTCAAACTCAAGCTCACGTCATCAAAGTTTTCGTTGGCAATGTGTGCGCCATTACGACCGGAAATGCCTCACTCGAGTGTGTCTGTGTGTGTGTTTGTGTGTGTGCACGTGTGTATGCAGAAAGCGCGTCAAAGTTATTTAAACACCAAAGCGACTTCCTTCATCTCGAGTTCCTTCGAAAAAAATGCTCTCACATGTAGATATTCTTTTGCCTTTTCTCTTCGTTTGGCAAAGGACTTTCACTAAGCCGCTTAGTGGCACGAAGGCTGCAAATCCTGAATCCTGACTGAGAGCCTCTGTTTGCGGGCGTGCTTGTTTACTTAACATGGCTAATGAAACTCGAGAGAGTTTGAAGCCTTAATTTCTTTTGGCATAGCAGTTTGTTTTAAGTAGAAAAAATCCTATCGAAAAAGGTACTAAAACATGGTTGTTCTTCCGCGGAGAATATGCATTTATTTAGACAAACAAAAAGATTAAAATGGAAATGGAAAAAATACTTCAAAAATAAAACCATGATTGCAGAGCATATTTTGTTTTTAAAAATGTAAGGCGGGCAGTAAAAACTCATTTTTCCATAAAATCATATTTAATTGATCAGCAATAGCATCCCTAATATTTGCGAAGTTCAAAAGTTTCAGCTTACTTACATATTTGTAAATAAAATCCTTACTGACTAAATATGCTTAATGTTCTATTATTGTTTTAAACGTTTTCTGAATTACATTAAATTTGTTGTTGTCATTTATTCGCTTTGATTTTTTATGTACTTTGCACTCAGCTTATTAAGTTGCACCCTTTCCTTTTTCCATTTCCCTTTATTTTTAACTTTTCTGGGAAGTCATAAAGCTGGCACATAAGCAAATTAAGTTCACTTTAATGGACATTTGTGATGTCAGGATTTAATTACTCCAACAACACGCAACACTTGAAGTCTTCATGGGGATTTTCGGTCAGAATTGATGGCACTTTCCTTTCGGCTGTCACTCGGCAATAAAAATGCGAGCATTCAAAATCGTTTCAGTCAGCCTGGCCACCCGTTTTCGAATCGATTCAGTGGCATTCCATTGTTTAGCCTTTGATTGTCATTCACTGGGCGCGG